ATTTTTATAAATTTGAAAACCTAATCCTTTTGTCTTTTGTGATTCTCTTTGAAAAGAAAGAATATTATTAAGATTTTCTTTTCCTTTATTAAATTTGCTTACATTTAAACATATATCTTCATATCTTGATTTAAAAGAAGAAATATCTTTATCTAAACTATTAATTCGAATATTTAACTTATTACATTCTGATTTTAAATATTTATTTTCATTAGATAAATTATCATTTTCTTTTAGTAAAGAAAAATTTTCTTCTTTTAATTCAACTAATTTTAGAAAAAGTAGAAGAATTTAAATCAGAAATTTCTTCAAGTAATCTTTTATTTTCACCTTTAAGAAAATTATGTGATATCTTTAATCTCACAACAGTTTCATATAATTCATTGAAAGCATCTAAAAGCTCTTCATTATCACTTACTTCATCTTATGCCATAAAACACATGCGAGCACTTTCCTTTTCTTTAATATCTTTATCTGAAGATGATTCATCACTATCATCCCAAGTGACTGCCATTGATTTCCTTTTCTTGTTATTTTGAATGTTATTGAAGTTGTTGAAATAACTTGATTTTTGCTTATTCTTCAACATTGGATAATCTTTCTTCATATGACCTGGTTCATTACACTTAAAACAAAGGGTTATTTGAAATTGAACTCTTAGATTTAAAATTACCTCGTTTTATAAATTTCCGAAATTTTCGTGCAAACATGCCCATTTCTTTATCATCATCATCTGAATCTTCTTTATCGGAAATAATATTGAATGCAAGAACTTTCTTGTTCTTTGTTTCTTCATCATTCTTTCTATCTTTAATTTGAACTTCATATGCCATAAGATTACCAATAAGATTTTCAACCGTAAGAGTTGACAAATCATTAGCTTCTTCAATAGCGGTAATTTTCTTTTCCCATTGTGGAGTAAGTGATCGAAGTATCTTTCTTATCATCTCCACTTGTGTATATGTTTTTCCAAGACCAATGAGAGAATTTGTGATGTTGGTGAATCTTGTGAACATTTCTCCAATAGTCTCATTTTTCTTCATCTTGAACAATTCAAATCTGTGTACAAGAACAGAAATTTTAGATTCTTTAACTTTATTTGTATCTTCATGAGTTACCTCAAGTGTATGCTAAATATCATATGCAGATGTGGTCGTTAACACCCTATTGAACTCATTCTTGTCAAGTGCACAAAATAATGCATTTATTGCTTTTGAATCCAAATTTGCATTATTTCTTTGAGAAGTAGTCCATTCTGTAAAAAGAGTTGTTGGCTTCTCATATTTCGTTTCTACAACGTTCCAAAGTTCGTAGCCAATTGATTGAAGGTAAATCTTCATTCGACACTTCCAATAGTTGTAGTTCAATCCATCGAACATCGGTGGACGATTTGTTGAATGACCTTCTTTGAATTGTGAAGTATTTGTCGATGTCATCTTTCACCTTTCTCTGATATCAAATGTAGGATCTGAAATAGATACACTAGAACACTAGAGGGGGGGTAAATAGTGTTCTATTAAAATTTATGCAAAGTAGATTATAAATTGCAAAGAAAAATGGCAATCTCAGAAATTCACAATCACAAAAACAAAGATTTATACTGGTTCCACCAATCCGGTGTACATCCAGTCCCCAAACAAATCCCGCTTGAGAGTTTTCACTATGATTTTGAATAAACTTACAAAATCAAAAAGCAAACCTGATCAATTTGCAAGTCCCTGCAAATTGCAACACCAATTGACAAACACCTTGCCAATTTGCACACCAATCTCTAAACCAAGAGATTAACACCTCTCACAACTTGAGAGAACTTTTGAAGCAACAATTTTAATTCCTATAAGCCTTGATTTGTAGTGTAGTGTAGTAGTGGTTTAGGAATGATTCTAACTTCTGTAAATTGCCTAAACAATAAGTATTTGAATGATGTTCAGAGGCAATTTCAGAAACTTTTCTTTTTCTCAAAATCTGAATATATTTCACTTGAAAAAAATGCACAAAGATCATAGCTTATGGGTATGTAAGTTTCTACATTTTTTCTGAACTGATAACCTATTTATAACCCTTGAAAAGACAATTTTTTGAACTTTAAAAACGTTTAAAAACGGCTATAAACAGTCACAAATTCAAACTTTGAAATTTGAAAAAACTGTATCTGTAGTCGATTACAATACAGATTAGTCGACTACACTGAGTTCAAACAGACTCTGTGTATTCAGAAAATTTCTCAGTAGTCGACTACAATGCTCATTAGTCGACTACACTGTATTTTGATAGAAACTTGTAAAATGAAATTTGCCTTCAGTAGTCGACTATAATGTAGAGTAGTCGACTATACTGTAAAATAACAGAAACTTATGTTTCTGTCAAACACCTGAGTAGTCGACAATAAACTACATTAGTCGATTATACTGTAAAATGACAGAAACATATATTTAAGTTTTATACACGAGTAGTCGACTACTATTCTAATTAGTCGACTACTAAGAGTAAAAATTATGATATAAAAGGTTTTTATACTTAAGTTTTAACTATAATTCTAATGGTTAACATAGGGGATTTCTATAGTTAACCAACACACTAAGCCTGTGTTAGTGTGCTCTAATATTGTGTGTGTTCGTGTGTGTGATCAAGGCTTGTACAATAATTCTAAGTAAAGAAAATGTAAAATACATTATCTCATATGTTCTTCATTTTCTTCACTTCATAATGCCTTGAAAACATCTTGCACTTGGACATCTACTGTTCATCAAGCTAGCCTACCGAGTACATCTACTTATTCATAACCCTACTGTTCATAGCCGGCCTAGCCTGCATTGGCCTACACCTACATTCAGCCTACTGAGTAAACCTACCTATTCATAACCCTACTGTTCATAGCCGGCCTAGCCTGTTCATAGCCGGCCTACATCTAGCCTACTGTTCATTATCCTGTTTAGCCTATTCATAGCCTAGATCCGCCGGCCTACATCTACTCTTTGTCCTAGATCCACCGGCCTACATCTAGCCTACTCATTGTCATATAGATCCGCCGGTCTACATCTACATGTTCATAGCCTAGCCTACTTTTTCTCATAAATCCGCTGGCCTACATCTACAAGAGTCTGGCCTACATCTACAAGGCCAAGGTTAAGGCCGACGGGTCCCACTACCACTGCATCTGGGGAAGGTGACTCGCCCCCACGGCGTCAAAACTTCGACAATTACTTATCCATTCAGCACCACTAGGTGACGATCTCGCTCGAATTGGAGTTCCCTTTCTCAACTCGAAACAATCAGGTTCTTTTAATTTATTTATTTTATTTTTTATTCTATTTTTAGTATAATTATCTATATACCAACCTTATACATATTTTAAAATTAGTTTTTAGTTTTAGTTCTCTACCGAATGGTTTGTAAACTCGTTCTATCAGAAATAGAAAAATTAACAAATTTAATGATAGTAATTATGACATGTGACATAGAAAAATAGGATATGCTCTTATTCATGACAATATCGATAATGTAATCGAAACCACTGCTCTAACCCTTACTGATAAAGCTACACTTAAAGAAAATAAATGTTTGAACAGTGGAAGTCGAAAGACAAAAAGGCAAAAAGCCTTATGCTCATGTTCATGAAAGATAATTTAATCAACGAACTTATAAGATTTCTATGAACATGTAGAATGCTATAAAAGAAAATACGACACCGTCTCTGAAGTTAACATTCAACTTTTTTTGCATAAGTATAATTCTTGTCGTATGCAAAAGTAAGACAATATCGTAGAGCATATAAATAAGATGATTGTCATGACTAAGGACTTATCCACTGTTGAGATCGAAATTCCAAAAAGAATGCAAATGACAACCATTTTGAATAGTCTCCTTCCTTCCCTTACTATGACTGCTACCACATTAAGAATGAACCCTGTCGTTAAATCTGTCACTAATCTTCCTATGCATCTACCGATAGAACAGAGCTTAATAGCCAGTAGGAAAGAACCAGAACTGAGTATGGTGCAGCAAGAGCTGAATTATATCCGTCAGAGGCATAATGCTGAAAGCTATAAAAATCTTGGTCCTAGTAAACCACAACTGTGAGGACTAAAATCGCAACAGTTCAAGAGAAAGAAAGTATCCCGCGAAGCTTGCTTCAATTATGAAAAATTTGGGCATTTCAAGCTCAATTGCCCGCAAGGTGAAAAATATGAGAATTAGGGAGACTATAAGCATCCAGAACAATAGGGTATTAGCAAAATAGAATTTATCGGTGTGACGAAATACAATGCTGTGATGACGAATATCAGCGGTTGGTGGATCGATTCTTGTGCGATCAGACATATCACAAAGGACAAGAATGAAGTCACAGAATTCACCAAGCTGAAGAAACGAGAACATAGAATCTATATGGGAAATAATACGTATCTCGATCAGTGTTGTAAATAGCGGCCAATAGCGGGACTATAGCGGCGCGAATAGCGGTCGCGGCCCTTCAGCGCTACGCGTAGGGGTTTCGCGGCTGGCTTAAGCTGAAAAATCCGCTATTCATTTGAATAGCGCGTAAAAGCGGATTTTAGCGGGTTAAAAGTGGGTTTTCGCGGTTAAAAGCGGATTTTCGAGGTTAAAAGTGGATTTTTGTTAAAAGCGACTAAACCCGCTATCACACATATTATGATGCTATATTTCTTGAATTTTCTCATAGTTTTATTTATACAACAAACTTATTAATTGTTATTTATTGATAATACAAGAAATTTACAACTAATTGAATTTTTAGATTTTGTTATGAATTTTCTTATTATTTAGGATATTTAAATATATTTAAATTTGACGGCTATTTGACTGTGCGCTATTTGCCGCGATTTCGCCGCAATAGCCCGATATAGCCTTAGCGGTACCTCGCCGTGACGCGTCGCGATCCGCTATCAGCAACCTTGATCTCGATGTAGAAGGTATTAGTTCGTATAGATTGAATCTTGGGCACAATATTCTTATCCTCAAAGATGTGTTCTATGCATCAGGAATTCGACGTAATCTGATCTATGTTCCCAGCTTGATGAAGAAAGGACTGAAAGTTAGGTTCTACAATAACCGAGTTTCTATACGAAAAATAAATAAAGTGTATGCTATGAGAAAATATGTACCCGAGCATGAATTATGCAATCTTTCAGTAGTTTGTAATAATTCTGATAATAAAATTTTGAATTTGAACTACTTGTCCTGTTATATTTCCGAGTCTGAATTGTGGCATTCTAGATTACGACATGCTAGTATTTCAAAAATAAAAGAAATTATCAGAATGAACTTACTTTCTGTACTATTTAATGTTCAATTGTCACTATTTGAACATTGCTTAACTGGTAAAATAACTAGAAAACTTTTTATTGGCCGACAAAGAGCCAATGAACTTTTAGGGTTAATACACTCGTATATTTGTGCTCCCCTAAGTGTCAAAACTCATAGTAATAAAGAATATTTTATTACTTTTATAGATGATTATTCTAAGTTTGCACACGTCTATCTTATATCTAGAAAATTAGAAGCTCTTGATTGCTTTAAAATATAAGACAAACGTTGAAAACCAACTTGGAATGGAAATTAAAAATTTAAGAACTGATAGAGGTGGAGAATATAACTCTAAAGAATTTGAGAGTTATTGTATTTAGCATGGAATTAAAAGACATACAACAATACCGTATGCACCACAACAGAATGATGTTACTGAAAGAAAATAAAATATTACTGAATGTAATTAGATGCATCATGTTGTATTCTGGTCTCTCCAAAAACTTTTAAGGAGAATCATTATTAACTGTAAACTATATTTTAAATAGAATTCTCACTAAGTCAGTTGTGTCTACACCTTATGAGTTATGGAATACGAGGAAACATAATTTGAGCCATCTCAGAAAGTAGGGATATATAGCCCATGTTCTCATTCCATATCAACTTAGAGATAAGTTGGATTTTAAAACAGTAAAGTGTAGATTCATAGGATATTCAGAAGTCAAAAGGTTATAAGTTTTACAATAAAGAAAAATGTATCATTGAAAATAAAGATGCTACATTTCTAAAGAACCTAGAGGAAGAGGAACAAGTTCGAGAGAAAACAGAACCTCTAACCATAATAGATGATGATTATTACGGTGTTGTTCTCACTAATGACCCTGATATTGTGAATGAACCTAACCTTGAAAATGATGAAATACCTGTGGAAAATAATGTACCTCATCAACCGGTTATAGGCAACAAAAGGCTAAGAACACAACCTTCATGGATGGATGATTACTATTTGTATTCATGTGAGTCATCCTGTTTCTCGGTAGATACAAATATAGAGGAACAAGATCACTTCATCTTCTCTGATGCGATGAAATTGCATGAATTAGCTTTATAGCTAGAATCCATGAGAGAAGAACTTGGTTTTATAGAAAAGAATAAGGTATGAGAGTTATGTGATCTACCGAAAAATAGAAAAACCATAGGATGCAAATGAGTGCTTAAAAAAAAAATCATGATGATGGATCTATTGATAAGTTCAAAGCATGATTAGTTGCCAATGGTTACAACCAGAAGACATGAATAGATTTTCAAGAGACATATCCTCTTGTAGTTAAATTTACATCTATTAGAATTATTTTGGATATTATTGCATATATTGATTTGGAGTTATTCTAAATGGATGTTAAAACTGTATTTCTTAACGGAGAGTTGAAGGAAGCAATATATATGCAACAACCTAAAGGTTTTTAGGTGAAAGGACAAGAACATAAAGTTTATAAATTAATGAAATCTCTATACAATTTAAAACAGTCTTTTAGACAATGGTATCTTAAATTTCATGATACAGTCACAAAACTTGATTTTATTCAAAATAAATTAGATAATTATGTATATGTCTTGAAAAATAGGAGCAAATTTACTATATTATCATTATATGTGGATGATATATGCTCGCTAGAAATGACATAGAAATGTTGAATAAAATCAAGTCAGATCTCAACGAAAAATTTGAGATGAAAGATATGGGAGATGCATCATATATTCTTGAAATTCAAATAATTCGAAATAGAAAGCCTAGAATGCTAAGTTTAAACCAAGAAAAATATTTAAGATCGGTTCTTAAAAGATTTGAAATGGAGAATTCTAATCCGGCGCAAATCCCGTTGGTCATGAGAAAGAGATTATGTAAAGAGCAAAGCACTGGAGAAGGGCAAAAGTTATTAGATATTCCTTATGCTCAAGCAATTGAAAGCTTGATGTATGCAAAATTATGCACCAGACATGATATAGCTTGTGCTGTAAGTCTAGTCAGTCGATATCAAAGTAATCCAGGACCAGCACATTGAGAAGCTGTTAAAAGATTATGAAGTATATCATAGGTATATTGACTCATAGGTTAGTTTATCAAGCCGATTCGCTTGATCTCCTCGGTTACTCCGATGCTGATTTTAGATGTGATAAAGATGATAGAAAATTCACTTCGGGACACTCATTCATCCTTGGAGGAGGAGATGTTTCTTGGAGTAGCAAGAAACAATGGTGTGTTGCTAGATATACGCAAGAAGCTGAATATATAGCTTGCAATATGGTAACTATACATGCTATCTAGATAAGACAGTTTTTGATTGATTTAGATCTCAATTTGTTAGAAGGACCTATAAATATTTATTGTGATAATCAAGCATCAATTAGTTTGATCAATAGCGATGCGAATAGCTACAAAGAAAAACATATTGAGATCCAGTATCACTATATTCGAGATATTATAGAAAAAGGAGAAGTCAAAGTGACCTATATCCCTACTACAGACTTGATTGCTGATCCTTTGACAAAAAGAATATCAGCAGAATATTTTATTAAACATGTAAGTTTGATGGGACTTAGGAATAAATAAGTCCAAGTAAAATTTTATGAATAATGAAATAAGAGAACAGTGGGAGTAATGGTAAGAAGAAACATCTGATCTCACGGATAGTGGGAGGCATGTCGTTTGGTTAATATGGTCAAGTGGGAGATGTTACCTTGACTCGGACTTGTGTGACCAAATTAACGTTTCTCAGTTGAAAGAAACGTGCAAATGGGAAAAACGTGGAAAATGGGGTCGTTGAGAGAAAATCTCTCAGGGGCGGTTATGAGGGGGTGGAGATGATGAGTTTGGCCACTATAAAAGGAGGAGCGTTCTCCTTGAGAAAACACAACAAGAAAGAAAGAAACAAACCCCTAACCTGTTACCGGAGCCCCCTCAAAGAAATCCATTGTTCTTTTCCCTCTTCTCCGTTATTGATCACCTCTGTCTCCTCCATCTCCACCTCCTCTCTTCGAAGCACCACCACCTCCTCCTCGAAGCTCATCAAATGTGCTTTCTGGAATTTTTAGTTTTTTTCTTGAATTTTTTTGAATATTTATACATATTTAAACGGGACCGCTTTTTAATTTTGCGCTTTTTGCTGCTAAAGCCCCAAATAGCCTTAGCAATGTCTCACTGCCTCGCTACGATTTCCGCTTTCCACAACCTTAACATCAATATGTGTGGAAATTTGTTTAACTATTTGTGCGATTTTTATTTGCAATATCATTTTTGGTTAATTTTGGCGACTCTTAGAGCCACAAGAGAAGGATTCAGTTGAGGTGAAGGAAGTTTTATCGCACAGTCTTTTAACAATTAGAAATATGCATATTTTTGTAAAGAAAAACTTCTTAAGGTTTCACCTTCACGTTTTCAATGCCCTACAGTTTTATGCTAGAAATCAAAGTGCAGATTTTAACTGAGCAGAAACCTACTTCGCTAAGTTCAACTACCATGATCAAGATAAATTATATTTTTCTGATTTCCATTTTTGCAGCAGTAAACATTTCACAATTCTTTTGCTAGTTAGTCCTAGCGCTCTACTTTTGATCCACTAAGCAAATATCCTAGCCTCCCTCCTGTGGCAATCCTATCTTAGCCAGAAGATTACCAGTCTAGCGGGGAAACTATACATGAATAAGTGGGAATAAAAACTTCGTCATTTTCGATCATTTTCTGGAGAATATGGAGCCTTATCAATTGTCATTTAAATTTCTGAATACATTTTAATTTGAAAAGATTTGTTAATTATGTATTTATGTGAAAAATACATTTATGTTGGTCTTTTAACAAGGAAGCTCATAATAACGTCATTCTACCTTCTCATCCTGAAATATTAGATGCTGCTGTCATTCCGTAAGTTGGAAAATAAAATTCCCCAACTTCAATCTTAGTAAACTTGCTAATGTTGCATCATTTGTTGCCTATATGACGTGTCATTCTATAGTCTGTCATGATTCTAAAGTATTATTTTCTGGTTCCTTTTCTATGTCAGGTTTCCTGATGCTGAAGCTGGGGAGGTTCCTATTGCATTTGTGGTTAGATCTCACAACAGCTCACTAACAGAAGTTGATGTTCAAAAGTTTGTTGCAAATCAGGTACTGATAAATATGTACACATTAGTGTAACATTGCTTTTACAGTAGCACATGATTTCATAGCATTTGTACCTCTTCACACATGATGAAAATTGAAGAGACTGAAAATACTTTGCCTTATTAAGGAGAAACCGTAAGCAGCCTCTGGCGAGCAGGTTTTGAAAATAAATTGTACCAGCATGTGCAAATATCATATTACTCTGCTATAACCTGATACTTGGAGACTGACTCCAGTAAACTGGATACTGTATGTGGGTGATGATATTCTCCTCTTAGTCGGGAATGCAGGCCTTAAAACCGTTGATGTATCGATGTTTTAGTTTCTCTAGTCTTGTTACTATGGTTGAATATGTGTGAAAAAGAATATGCAACCTTTCCCCTTGAATCCTCATCCCCACCATTCATATTGTTATATAGGTTATGAATTTTGTTACTATTATTATTGCTTCAAAACTTTTCATATACTTGAGAAATTTATGAAATCCGATATTAGCATACCATGGTGTGATGTACAGCTTAGTCCCTGTAACTGAGAATTGCATAGCTCACTTATGAGATAATTTTTTCGTTGCTCATTCAACGTGACTTGGCTGATTAGATATGGTTTTGTAAGAATAAAATGTATGCAGACAAACACAACAGATAATCACATAACTTACTATTGTTGATCACCATTTTTTGCCTCCTCTGTCAATTATGTTTCTCCTAGTGATTGAATCACTGTTTTTCTTTTGTTTTTCTTCAATGTTTCTTATTATTGTTCCAGGTGGCACCTTTCAAGAGGCTGAGGAGGGTAACTTTTGTGAACAGTATTCCGAAATCTGCTGCCGGAAAAATTCTCAGAAGGGAACTCAGAGAGAGAGTAAGGTCCAAGTTGTAGAACCTGGGCACTACCCTCAAAACACATGCAGCAGGTTTCAAAGCTGTTCAATTCTTTCGAGAAGGCTTTTCTAGGTTCTGTTACCTGAGCAAAGAGATGTATCATTTTGCTTCCACGTCAATGTTACTTGATAAAAGATAAGATTAAAAAGAAATAATTGCCATTTGTTGCTCACGCTCCTACAAAGTCGTGCATAGCTACAGTGGAAGTATTTGGACATATGTATATAATAAAACAGCAGCGTGCACTTTTTTTATCTGTCAAATTTACCTTCATGTAAGTCTCTTCAAGCATATTCTGTGCAACTCCTACAACTTCACACAGCAATTTCACCTTTTAATTATCTGACCTAATTGACAATAACGCCATTTTCATTCTCTTTACATTGTCTGCAGCCCCTTCAGTATGTATCTGTCAGCTTTTCTAAATTAAGCTTAGCGGTACGTGTACTACTGGAATACGCTTTTAACAAGCTATTTTCACATTTTTCTTGTGACTGAGGGAGTACGTTTTTAACAAGTTCTTTTCACATTTTTCATGTGACTGACTGTTAGAACGTAACCAATATATGTTAGATCCATACAGGTTTTACCAGAGCAAAATAGATGACATAGGAAAACAAAGAAAGAACAACAAACCATAAGTAGAGGAACCATGATAGGTAATTCGGTAAGGAATATTTTATAGAAAGCCGAATTGCCCATAGCATCGAGGAGTAGCTTTGAGGAAACTATGCCCCATCTACGGTTGCGTTTGATACGCATAATAATTTCGAGGGTGAGACAACTGCAATTCTCAGAAGCGCACTCTTTTGTTGAACACCATGACTGTTACTTTAATTCGCCGACTCTCCAAAACCAGCTATTAAGGAACAAGTATAAGAGAATTGTGGAAGAAAACTAAGAGAGGATTTTAATTTTCAGTGTCTATATAGGTTCGCACGCACCAGACTAGGCGCTCACTATCACTGATACGAGTCGCCGTGCGAGCACCTTTGATCGCGGAATTATCAAATGTGGGTTGAGAAGAAAACAATAGAAAACACAAGAACAATTCAGTTGGCGAAGGAAAATACATTCTCTAGATTATGAGTAATAAAAGATTACAAATCTCTCTCTCACAATCTCACTAGAATAAAAAAATACATTCTCTAGATTATGAGTAATAAAAGATTACAAATCTCTCTCTCACAATCTCACTAGAATAAAGAACAATGTAATAAAAGATTACAAATCTCTCTCTCACAATCTCACTAGAATAAAGAACAATCTCTCTATTCTCTTTTAATACAATCTGATTGCTTAGAAACCCTAAAACAATCCTATTTATATCCCTAACAACGTGGATGATAATCTTATAAATAAACAAGCCCAAACAAACCAGGAAAATGCGTCAAAAAGAGTTCCAGACAACTTAGGAAACCCGATCCGGTCGACTGGCACACATGTCACAGTCGACCGGCCAGAGGGTTGGTTTCAAACTATGCAGGCAGAACCACGTACGGTCGACCGACCAGTGTGTCGTGGTCGACTGGCCAAAGGAATCATTCCTTACCCTGTAACGTGCACAAATCCCGTCGACCGACCAGCTTGGTCCGGTACCAGAGCCTGAGCGCCAGTTCCCTGATTTTGTTGTCTTCTTGCTTTTGGCTTCTTTCGCCGCCACCAATGGCTCTATCTGTTGGCCTTTTTGTTTTGATGGTGTTTTAACAAATAATTTACAACAAATATTACTTGTCTAGTGTTTGTGTTTTTGTATTTATTCTAGACAAACAATCAGTTGGAAGTTGGATGGAATTGTGCCATAACGATCATATCCAATGGAGGTTGGCGGAATATCGGAGTAAAGCAATACATTTCAAGTCAAGAGGAGTGACGTTGGTAGTAAAGCCTAGGGAGAGGTTGTAAATCCGAGCACTTGAGGGAGACACGGGTTAGAGACCAACACTTAGAGGGTATAGAGTGTGATTGCAAAAGTGTTGATTGTAAAGTTTTCGGTGAGCTAGAAAACCGAGTGTGAGGTGTAAACATTTTCGGGTGAGTGTTGAAAACCCGTTGTGTTAGTGGATTTCTCCCCAGGAGTGGGGAGCAGAGACGTAGGACGGAAGATCCGAACTCCGTGATCATTTCTTATGTGTTTGAGTTTGGCCTGTGCACTTATATTTTGTTTATCTCTATCGCCATTCTCTCATTGTTTAATTTATCCACTATATTATTTGTATTTGTTTATAGTTTACTTACCCTTATTTGTATATCCTTACATATATATCTTGTTGTATATCTAATTTGCTAGGATATTTGTTAATTAGTTTTTATTGGCATTAAATCGGATTAGATTAGCATAAACTCTATTCACCCTCCTCTAAGGTTTTTTCCTAGTGGCATTAGGGTCTAACACTATCCACGCTTTCATTCTCATGATACCATGAGAATCGTCTATCCTCAAGCTCCCATGAGGATCGCTAAGCTTCCGAAGCGAGGAAGAAGATACACCCGTATCAATCACGATAGCAAATTTGTGCATTCTAACAACTTTGTTATATCTAATATAACACCTATGTTATTATAAACCAAGTAAAATGTATTCATCTATGTTATTATTCAGTTAGTCAATGTGGGACTAACACGCACATATTACTAATTAAGCACAACTTTTCATCTATGGAATCCAAACCCTATAAATGCAATCTTTCCAAAAAAAAAACATTTGTAAATAAGTCCTCCATTTATTCATTTATATCAACGCTGATTGCATCGGTATGTTAGCACACAAGACTTTTTTGAGTAAACTACAAAGGAAACATAGAATAAGAACATAAACCACATCGTGCAAGATAAAAATGCAAGCACAAAAATCAGACGGATCTGACTGATGTAACCGCCGACAGTCCTCTAGCTCACAGAGCACACCACATTGCAATTATCCAGAGGATTGCTTGCCGAAACAGAAAGAGCACATTTATCCTTAATGGCTACCATCGAATCATTGAGGCAGGAGCGGCAGTCTCCAGCCTCAATATCGGTGTGGCGCGTAGAAATGCCGAGCACATTAGCCAACTGTATTGTGCAAGTACGGTCAGGGGCATTGGGCGTTACAGTGCGCATGCTTTCGAGAACTGTGAGGACATTGACTGCTATGGTACTGCGTGGATCGTATTTGTTTGAATCACAGGTAGGATCACCATCAGCAGGTGCCACAACGATAAGTGAAAATGCGAGCACCAAAAACATCTTCAGGGATGAAGATTTCATGTTTGTTGTTGAAAGGGTCAGTTGTGCTCGAGTGTTTACTGACAGTATTGAAGAACTACAGCTTACAGTTGGCTGGAAAATTTTGGGAAGAGGGGGCATTGGATAGTACTGAGGTTTTGTTGGATTCTAAAGATTGGGCTATTAGCTTTTCATGTTATCATCGTTAGATAGTATTTTTCATTTCACAGAGCAAATTAAAAGTACTACTTTCCGTGCTCATATCATATCATGTACATATAAAGTTGGAAACAGAACAAGATTGTGGTTATGGTCTGGGGGTCCCTCTATAATCCTTGGAAGGGAAATGCCAAAAGGACCTCAAATATGGGACAGAAGAGGGGACATGTGAGGTATCCTCTCCCCACTGCATGATACACTGTTGTCCCTGTAAAAACGACGAAGGAATTGAGGAAGGAATTGAGAAAAACGTGAAGAATAAGCAAAACAAGCTCCACCACACCCTAGTATGGTGTCTGCCATGGGTGTGGCAGAATATGTCCTGTCTGCCATGGGTGTGGTGTCTGCCACACCCTGGTATGACAGAATCTGCATTGTTTACCATGGGTGTGGTGTGTGCCACACCAGGGTGTGACAGACTTGTTTTTAGAATCCCAATCAGTTTGGGATTGTATTTTGTTATAAATAGAGACACGTTTTTAGGGTTTCTTTGGCTTTGTTTAGACTTTGTTTAGGCTTTGATTGGGCTTTGATTAAGCATTGATTGGGGGATATTTGGAGCTCAAAAGAGGTATTTTTTGAGCTTTTGATTAGGGTTTTATTTTGGAGAGATTAAGAGTTTTGTTGGTGAGATTAGTTTGTTTCTTCGAGTGATTTGTAATCTCAGTTTGTACTCTTTCTCTATTAGTGAAAACCCCATCCCCCTTGTCCCGTGGACGTAGGCAACTTGTCGAACCACGTTAAAATTGGTGTTTTGTTTGTGCATTGATTTTGGTTGGTTTTGGCCCTCTTTGATCGGCGTTTGGTTTGGTTCCTCGACACGGTTTTCAACAACAATTGGTATTAGAGCACAACAATTTGGTATCAGAGCTCAGGCTACGCTTGGGCTATTTAGAGGAGTAGATCGATTTGGAAAGCTCGTCTAGGGTTTCAGTTGGTGAGAAAGGTAGGATCTTTTTGGTAAAGCTTCTTTCTTTTCTCAGTTTTGGATCTATTCTTCATTTGTTTCCACACTGGTGGTTGGTGTGTTGAGGATTATGGCCGAGAAAGAGAGAGTTGAGGGTGGTTCTTCAGGTGTGAAGACTGTCCAAAGTTTGAGTATCCACTCGATGAAGATTGACGTGGAGAAGTTCAATGGCACTAACAATTTTGGACTTTAGTGATGCGAAGTCTTGGATGCGTTCAATGCGCAGAATTTGGAAGATACGTTGGAGTTGGACGGGAAACCGGACGACATTGATGAGAAGGTTTGCGTGTGGTGTGATTAGGTCTTGTCTCACTCAAGATCTAAAGTATGATGTGATCAATGAGACTTCTGCAAAGAAGATTTGGGAGATCCTTGAGAGCAAGTATTTGACCAAGAGTGTGGAGAATCGCTTGCATTTGAAGAGGAGGCTTTACCGCTTCCAGTTGAAGAAAGGAACCTCCATTGGTGATCACATGAACCACTACACGAAGCTTCTTGCGGATTTGGCGAATGTGGATGTTAAGATTGAAGATGAGGACAAGGCGTTGTTGCTATTGAGTTCCTTGCCTGACGAGGAATATGAGACGTTTGTCCTTACTCTTATTAATGAGAAGGCATCTCTTTCATATAGTGAGGTCACCACTGCATTAGTGAATTACCAATTTAGGAAGAAGAACAATGAGACTTCTATTGAGCCGGTAGCGGGGGTATTGGTTGTAAGAGCAAAGGGTACAAACCGAGGTAGAAGGTCACAGTCTAGAGGGGCACATCTTGGAATTCGTAGGAATCAGTGTGCTTGACATTGGAAAGCTAAATGCCCAAAGTTGAATGATCAAGCCAGGAAGAATAAGGGGAAAGCTATTCAGGCTTCAGAGGTGAATGTTGTCAATGCTAGTGACAGCGATTCAGATTCGGATTCTTCGGGCTACTCATTATTTGCACTGCCGT